ATCTTTGCGATGTTGACATTATAGATTACGTTGTAATACAGTGTTTTGACATTGTCTTTTTCGCGATGTCGGCAATGCCAACCATGCAGAGACAAGATGATGAAAGGATATCGACAAAGTAGTACAACACAATGTCGACATCGTTGTATTCAAAATTAACAATGTAAAAACGAGTAATGTGTTAGCGATATCGGCAATGTCAACGATGTAGACAAGAGTATGAAACGATATCGACAACGTTGTACAACATCGTGTCGACATTGTCTACTTCGCGATATCGTCAAAGTCAACGATGTAGACAAGAGTATGAAACGATATCGACAACGTTGTACAATATCGTGTCGACATTGTCTACTTCGCGATATCGTCAATGTCAACGATGTAGATTAGAGTATGAAACGATATCGACAACGTTGTACAATATTGTGTCAACATTGCCTACTTTGCGATGTCGACAATATCGGTACTACTTTGTACACTGGACATGAATGAACCAACATGGCCGACATGGCTAAAAATAGAACATAGGGGTAAAATGCAGTTTTTGGCCTATATCTCTGAAACTAAAGCATTTAGAGCAAATCTGACATGGGGTAAAAATGTTCATCAGGTTAAGATCTATCTGCCCTGAAATTTTCAGATGAATCAGACAACCCGTTGTTGGATTGCTGCCCCTGAATTGGTAATTTTAAGGCAATTTTGCAGTTTTTGGTTATTATCTTGAATATTATTATAGATAGAGATAAACAGTAAACAGCAATAATGTACAGCAAAGTAAGATCTACAAATAAGTCAACTTGACCAAAATGGTCAGTTGACCCCTTAAGGAGTTATTGCCCTTTATAGTCAATTTTTTACAATTATCATAAATTTTGTAAATTTTTATAAATTTTTACAAAATATTTTCCACTGTAACTACTGGGCCAAGTTCATTATAGATAGAGATAATTGTAAGCAGAAAGAATGTTCAGTAAAGTAAGATCTACAAACACATCACCATCACCAAAACACAATTTTGTCATGAATCCATCTGTGTCCTTTGTTTAATATGCACATAGACCAAGGTGAGCGACACAGGCTCTTTAGAGCCTCTAGTTTTAGTTTTGGTATGATTGCCAATGACACCTATCTACCAGAGTCCAAGTAATGTGGATGTAAGCAATTGAGCCTGAAATTTTTCTTCAATGTCTAATAATAAGTAGGGGTATTCTTTGCACAACATTGCATGCTACTCCTTGATTATTGCTTACTTTGGTTGTAGGTTAAAAAATTAGAGTAAGAGTTATTCCACTAGTTATATTTATCAAGAGTGCACATGCTGAAATGTCTTGCCTGTTTCATGTTGAAATTCTGTAATATGAAGGTATACTACCAGTACCACATAAACTTTACATTATCAATTTTCTATGAAAATGGTCACAGTAAGATGAACCATGCCAGACAGACATGTACACCTTACAATAATTCCATACACCAAATATAGTGATCCTATCACTAATAGTACCCAAGAAACAGAATAAACCACAACATCTTTACATTGACCAATGAACCATGAAAATGAGGTCAAGGTCATATAAACCATGCCAGACAGACATGTACACCTTTACAGTCATTCCATACACTAAATATAGTTTACCTTTTGCTTATAGTATCTGATTAACAAAATTATGAAAACTTATCATTGACCAATGAAAATTAGGTCAAGGTCATATGTACCATGCCAGACAGACATGGACATGTACACCTTACAATCGTTCCATACACCAAATATAATTGACCTTTTGTTTATTATATCCGAGGAAATAGACCAAACCTCAAAAACTTAACATTGTCTAATGAACAATGAAATTGGGGTCAAGGTCAGATGAAACCTGCCAGTAGGACATGTCAACCTTACAAGCATTCCATACACCAAATATAGTTGACCTACTGCTTATAGTATCCGATATGGACTTGACCACGTAACTTTAACCTTGGTCACTGATCCATGGAATGCGGTCGAGGTCAGGTGAGACCTTACAAGGAACCCATATACCAAATATTGTTATCTCTTACTCATAATAAGTGAGTATTTCACTTTTAAAAAAACTATAATTTTTTTCAAGCAGTCACTGAACCATGAAAATGAGATCAAGCACAATGGACATATGACAGACAGAAACTTTGTAACATAAGGTATCTGCATACAAGGTATGAAGCATCCAGGTCTTCTGGCATCTGAAATATAAAGCTTTCTACAAATAGTTTACGCCGTCGCCGCTGCTGCCTTGGCTGCCTGATTGTAATACCTATGTCTAGCATTGCGACTAAGGCTATGAACTAACCACAAACTGGTTCTATCTATCCAGATGACGTGAATACTTCTTTCTTATTTTTATTATTCTGTCTTTCAAAGAAAATAACCTAAACCCTATTCATGCTACACAAATATACAGCAATTTGCATAACATGAATAGTATATTAAATTGGCATAGGTCTCCCATCAACTTTTCAATGCAAACATAATGACTCACTATTTTTGGGGAGTAAAGATTGCACAAGTGCAATTTAATCCAAACAGTTTCTGTCTGGTTGTCTATTTTTGAACCATCTTCTTCAAGTGTTTTGCTAGAATTGACGAGCGACGGATGTGAAAACTTGATACAATATTTCAAGAAAGCTCTGATTCGTAGTTCCTGAGAAAAAGTGCTGAAATTTTAGACATGGTTATCATGTGTAAAAATATAGTAATTCAGTAAACAGGAAGTTGATGAGCAATGGATGTGAAAACACATAACAACGGTATTGCATTATGGCAGGAGACTTGAAAACAAATGTGGCGGTATGTTAAGAGCCCTTAATTGGCCCCTGAAATAGTAAACTTCTAAATTATGTTATTTTTATTGATTAATGAATCAGTTGCTTTAATCTGAAAACTATAGGGCAGAAAGGTCACTTGTGATATCACTTCTGATGTAAAAAAAAATGAAGAAATTTATGTATTTGTCCTACAATGGCCTTTCACACAAAGATTTTGGTCAAAATATATATGAAGCTTTACCCAAAAAGATATTTTAACATTTGAAACATCTTTGTCAAATACATTTTGTAGAAAAAGTATCTCTTGAGGTAAAGCTCTTCCTCGTATCTAAATATTAAAGACAAGATCTCAATAAGAAGGTATTTTGGCAGTTTTTGTTGTTTTTGCAGAAAATGTAAGAAGTGTCTAGCCTTAATGCCAATGTTAAAACAAAAATCAAAACTATAATACAGGAATCTGACAGACAACTTAGATAATGCATTATTATCTGGTAGATTTATACTTTTTGATTTTCAAATTCAAGGAGCCAAAAAATGTTGCCTTATTATACCTTCTCATACTACAGTACTTATATTAGGTACCTGTACTGACATGAAATTATCTTAAATCAAGGAATACATCTGCCTCATGCAAAGCTCCGATTATACTTGTCTTGGCTTTCGCTAATATACTGTCAGCTCTGCAATCTCATTTAAAAAAAGTTATTAGTTTATTATCGTACTGCTTTCCATATTTATTCAGTAACTCAAATGTTTAGCTTTTATGAATTGCTTTGTTATCTAGTGCTTATCTTAAACTTTTTAATTTTTACACTGCTGACATTCTGTCAGGTGACCCGTAGAGGCACTTGGTTTTTTTGTCAAACAGTTCTATTTAAATTTTTAAATTAATTTATAAATTTTTATACAAGATTGCTAGAAATATGAAATTTTGGTTGTTGCATGGCTTTATTCAGCTGTATGTTTTTTATGTGCATGATGCTTTGTTTTATTTGTTTTATATACATTTATATATTCGGTAAAAATCTCATGAGACCTTATGTTTGATAAATTGTATGTTTTATGCTATGCTGAATCAAAATAAAATTTTCTATGTCTATGTAAACGTCTATGCTATACTTTTTGTCCTTTTTAGTTTGTAAGCTCTTCATCTTTTAAATAAGTTTTGGTTTTTATACGACCGCAAAATATTTGCGTTCGTATATTGCTATCACGTTGTCGTCGTTGTCTGAAGACATTTGGTTTCCAGACAATAACTTTAGTACAAGTGAATGGAATTCTATGAAATTTAAACACAAGGCTTAATACCACAAAAGGAAGGTTTGGATTGATTTTGGGGGTTATGGTCCCAACTGTTTAGGAATTAGGGGCCAAAAAGGGGCCCAAAACAAGCATTTTTCTAGTTTCAGGACAATAACTTGTGTATAAGTATTTTGATTGCTCTGAAATTGTACCACAAGGTTCAATACCACAAGGTTCAATACCACAAGTAGAAGGTTGGGATTCATTATGGGGGTAGTAATTGCCCAAACCGTTCAGGAATTAGGGGCCAAAAACAAGCATTTTTCTAGATTTCAGACAAAAACTTGTGTTTAAGTGTATGGATGTCTCTTAAATTGTACCACATTTTACAAAAAGAAAATTTCTTCAAATATTATTTCTTTTGGAGGGGGGTGTAAAAAAAATATTTTTGGGGTGGGGGTCAATATTTTTCCTCAAGATTTTTACTATATAGTCTGAAAACAGATTTACTAAGTATTGAGCAAGAGCACAGTGTATTGCACAACAGCAAGAAATCTTCAATTGAATATAAATTCAAATCATATAACCAATTTCAAGTTCTTTGACTACATTTATTCTGTGTCAGAAACCTATAAACCTATAATGTGTCAAATATTTAATTACAATCCAAATTCAGACCTGTATCAAGCTTGAATATTGTGTCTATATTTTCCCCAACTGTTCAAGGTTGGACCTCTGCGGTCGTATTCAGCTGTGCTCGACGAAGCACATTTTTAAAATATTTAAAAAGAGACAACTATTGTAGAAATGGTCATCTAATGTTATTCTCCTTTCAGAAGCTCTGATTTGTAGTTCCTGAGAAAAAAATTCATGGAACACAGATGAACAGACTTGCAGAGGTAAAGCAGGATACCACTGCTCTGAATATATATAATGAAAAAAAAAAACATTACATAAAATGATGTTATTTAGCACCTTTAATAAAAAAAAATACCAGTATAATAATACAGTTATCATCTAATATTGGACTAGTGAAGTCAAAACAAAATTACAACTATAAATTAAGGCTACATCTGCATAATTATACAGTAGCTGGGCTAACAATGGTGTCAGAGGTGAAATCTGTTCAACTAATTGCTAATGTGTAAATATAGCAGCAGAATCACACTGCACTAAAATGAAGGTTGGGAGACAAAACTAGACACGGAGATTAAATAACAACCCGCTTCATTAAATATAACATAGAAGGCATGGTAATAGAACATTTATACACATCCACACACATTACTAAGGAGAGCCAGAAACAGAGAATCTTGTATATGATTTTACACATCTAAGCAGCAGAAGAGGTTAAATAGCCCTCTAAATTTTGAGAAAAGAATTCCCGATTTGTAACCCTTGTATGTGCCCTTAGAGTGTATTGCAGACATAAATGTTAGTTATCCTTCTTTCTAAATTTGTCATATTACTGTAGTATAGATGTTTGTTTACACAAAAAGTACAATCCAAACCATTATTCTGTAATTAACTATTTTAACTGAGTTTCATGTTGGTTTTTTTTCTGAATTTGGCTAATGTTAGATTTTTTCTGCTCAATTGAGAATATTATAATTAATTCTGTTAAAATAATTAGTGTTTAAACAGTAGTACAGTCTAAACTAAAAGACTTACCATTATAAAGGCTGATGTAAAAATATATTTTTGGGTTTATAATATTCAAGTATTTAAGAAGAATATCATCATTCAAAATATTCCTTGGGTGTTCGTTAAATTGAAATAAGGGAGACCTCAGCTGATTAGAGTTGTGTATAGTTAATATTTCTGACAATCATTTATACTTAAATATGATCCAAAAATAATGTATTATTACCACTGCAATAAATCACATTTGCTATCATCCAGATTACACTTATTATTATTATGTGTTTATACAATATATCTAATGGTATCCATGATGAAACAATTTTCCATTCTGATCATTTTCATGATGATATTAACAATTTCCATTCATTTATCTATTACGAAGCAATCATATACTATAGATATATATATATTGGTGAAGGATATTATTCAAACGATCTCAATTTTTATTGCATTCATTCGACAATTCTAAAATTTCTTTTAATATTCAAAAAATCCTTTTGAAATCTGCCTTTTCTTTGAAATTACGAGTATCTTCTTTTTAGTGACATCAAGAGTCCACAAAATTTGGTATACTACAAGAAATAACATCTATCTAAGCACCTGTCACTGTAGTTGGCAAGGATTACTAGTAAGCTTATCAACCTTTCTACAAAATATATTATTTGCTGCCAATAAACAGGTCAACTGCAGTTTCAAATGAAATATGAAAGTTCTGTATTTTGCTACCAGTTGGAGAAATAAAGCAATCAAATTAATGGAGACATAGCTTATCAAAATTATTTAAAAGCTAATTCAGGAGGTATATACTAGGAACATTCTTGTCATTTATAAAATTATGCATGCTATGCAATAATTGACAACATCATACTATATCTTCACCCCTACTAATCAAGTACCGGTAAGAGCATAAGATTGGCTATTCATGCCTAGCAATCACACACAAGTTTTCTATATCCAGCTAGAACAGGAATTACATGATGACGAGGGTATGTATCACATTAAATGGTAAGAATAAATAAATATATCACAATTTTGCTTGTACTGATCCAGCCATAAGGTTTTTCATGTCAATAAGACTTTGCCGAACTGAGTTGGCCATTTTATTAGAGTCAGTTTCTGGACTACAGTTAAATGCAGACACACCAAATATAATCTGTGATTCCTGAGGATTATAACACAGTCCATAACCATTAGGAACTACAGGACCAAATACTAAAACAGCTTCTTCTTTTGATGGAACCTGAAATCAGAAACGAGTTATTGGTGTTGACATAAGGATCTGAAAAGTTTTCTTCTTTTAGCATTGATTTTAATTTTACTGATGCAAATATATTAAAAGGCAATATCTAAAAATTTGAGAAATGAACCATTTGTAATAAAAGGGGGGGGGGGGGGGGGGGGGGGGTATGTAACCTATTTCTGATATAAGTACTATTATATGCTTATAAAGACCCTCAATATTCATGCAATGACCTTGTACTACTATGTACTATAATATGAAATGTTGATAAAACACCAGAAGTTTTCCATATGTTTAATGTTTAATAATATTATTTTAAGCTAATGATTGAAGACCAAACAATAAATTTTAGGGACTGATTTTACTGTGATTATCATTTTGAAAATTTTTTCTATACACAACCAAATAACAATATGTAATGTACGAATAAAAGGAGTTCAATTTACTGAAATAAGAACATTCCATTTAATTGATAACCCTCCCTCCCCCCCCCCCCCCCCCCCCCCCCAAAAAAAAAAAGAACCTAACAAAAACCCCACTAATACAGTACAAAAACATTAAAGATAATTTACTGTTGGTGTTTTTTTTTTTTTTTAATTCATAACTCATTATTATAATTGAACGAAAACATCAAACTAAACCAACCTGACTGGTAGACAATTCAAAATGTACAGACCTGACTGGTAGACAATTTAAAATGGCAACTGGTACTGTATGTTTGGTCCATATGTAAATCAGGAACATTCATTCCATTCTTTATTGCAGCAAGTTTTAATCCTAACAAATGTCTATCAATACCTTGTCCATTTATAGCCTGTAAAAAAAATCTGATCAATCAACAGTTGTTTTTACACACATATACTTTACTATTTGACAGAGGGATAAACATAAAATCACTATATACATACTAAATCCTGAATCATTGCTTACATTGTACATTTGTATATAGAACTTGAACAGATTGTGTGGGGAATTTCTTATTTTACCCCTGGTAACATCTATAACATAAATTGTTAACACAGAGATATGTCTCGCCTGTTGGCAGAATTTTTTTGAAAAAAGACAATCTAATGGACAGCAACATTGTTAATCTATTCAAAGTTGCTGGACCATGACCTAGGGCAGGGCCTTGCAATAGTTGTCAAACTGATATGTACTGATAGTAATGCAACTTTATAGAAAATATTATTGATCTATCACAAGTAGACTGACTTTAGCAGAAAACTTAACATTGATACTTACTTCTTGATTGAAAGGACACTGGGCCTCAAAATAGTCTTCAAACTGAGATGTACAGATAGTAATGCAACTTCATAGAAAATATCATTGATCTATGACCAGTAGTTCCTATCAAACTAACTTAAGCAGAATACTTAACAGTTGTTGAGGCAGACGTTGCTGGAAAAGCAACACATATGTCTCGCCTTCCAGGATTTTCATCACAGGCAAGACAAAACTACTTCTAATAAACCAATGGGGCGGAATGGAAATAATAAATTTGTAATCACAACTTCCACTTTTAAATCAATACTATCCATATAACACTGGCACTGGTATGTGCAGCATGGCTTCTGTTTTCCATTGTAATTGATGTTTGGTTGTCTATTTGAAACTGACTTTAACTCCACTAATACTGTAAATTCAGATATTCGGTAATTTTCTATTGTGATTGTTGAACAATGGAATTAAAAATGATTAAATATTACGATTTCAGGAATTGCTGCATACAAATAATGCTATCAAAATTTAAGATTTTTATTTTTGCCAAACTTATTCTATTGAAATTTCACAATAATAAAAACATTGCAAATATTTAAGAGATAACTGTATTGTATTTGAAGCTTTGAGGACGTCCATCGGTAGTTTTACTGTCGCAAATTTAGTTTACCTGGTGACGCGTAGCAAACAGGTAAACAGGTATTTGTGACAGTAAAACTACCGATGGACGTCCGCAAAGCTTCAAATACAATACAGTTATCTCTATTCTAATGCAAAACAAATACAATTTTCAATTTCAATCATTATTTCAGTGTAAAATTTTCATTAAAGAAAATTCCGCGAAAAGATGTTATCTTCTTTGGCCCCTCAACTATGTGACGTCATAGGTATGCTTCCGGCGTCAAACGTAAACACCAGCCGCTTTCTGGCTTCTTGACCGTTTCAGAATGTATTAAATTTGATAAAAAGAAGATTTCTAGGTGCAACATGTGAGTTTTTTGCTTATTATTGTAGAAATTACATGTCAATACATTCCGCAATTCAAAATGTCGGCTTCCTTAGTTACAGACAAGGAGATAGAGAATTTTGCGCTTACTGTCAACCAGTCAGAACCATTGATACAAAATAATTGCATTAGAATTTTGAATTTACACTTCTATCTGTGACTTAAAGAATCTCTTTTGTCTCATAATAACAAATAATAAACTTGAGCAATGCCATAACTGAAACAATTCCTTAGTATTTCTGAGGATAAAGCTATGTTTTGCAATTTCATATGAGAGAGGAGATGTTGTGTTTTCCTCAATGAGACAGTGATCTCAGATGCAAAAAATTAAAAAAAAACATCTAGAGGTCATCAGTATACATACCTCATTAACGTAATTTTTATGCGAGTTGACAGCTTTCTTCAGTAATTCTCTTTTCTGCTCCTGTGACACATTAGGATCACACATCCCTTTACAGAATTCTAATGATTCGATTGAACATGATCTTATTGTGTCTGTTCTCCCGTGTTGATATTTTCGTAATGAAGCTGTTTCATATGTAGCACAGGGCTCATTATATAACCTAAATAATACAGACAATAACTATTACATAAAAGTGGTCAAATTAACTACTTGTAAAAAAATTGTGAAATGGACATTAACTGTCAAACTCCTGCTACTGATTTGACTCAAATTCTTATTAAAAGAATAAGAATTTACATCAGATATCTAATTATATCATAATTTGATGCCACATTGAATTGCACATTTCATTAATTCATTCAGAGAATGAGGTACTTAACACAACTATATCATAAGATGGAAAAGTGCACACTAACATCCTTAAAATTGGAAATGGCATACAATTTAACAGAAATTGGTAATTTTCTTTATTATATAAAGATTCTGTGGTTTGTTTATGATTTTATAATTGATTGTTCCCATTTACTAGTGTTGATTTTTACTACTAGCATGACTAGTAAAAACAACAGCCCATGTGATTCCTTGAATGTGCAATTCAATGTGGCATCAAATTATGATATAATTAGATATCTGATGTAAATTCTATACTTAATTTTTTGGTTTATTTAAAGTTTTTTAAGCTTCTGCATACAATACTTGTATTCTAAAATTGTTAAACATTTTATATTAACTATCAGTATGATGAACAATGATTTCAAACTCAGTCTGTTGTTTTCATTATTGTATAACCTCTAGTGTAAAAATCTGTGAATACTTGATAATGGCAGATTATACAAACCTATAGAAAGCTAACTGGAAAGCTATCTGTATATAACTATCTGGACTTAATTTCACAGATTTAGGAAATTTTTTCCCATAGTCTGTAAATTTAGCTACTGTTAAATCCAGGTCTTTAACTTGTCTACAAATAACAAAATATTTCAATAAAACTTTTGTTGCCATTTTTATATCAGTAAATTATGTTTTTAAACATGTAATGGTAAATTCAAAGGTTTATAACATGTTCAAAAATACATATATATACAGAATGTTATGCTTTTACTTTTTCTAACAGCCAAACAGTAATTTTCAAGGTTGAACACAGACAAAAACTCAATTAAATATGTGCAAACATAAAAGGAGTTGATCGTGCAAACGTAATACCTGTCGAAATATAAATTTGTGCAAATGTAGGTCGCCTGTACTTGACATTCCTAGTTAATAAACTGTTCAATAAAAAATTTCAATCACAGTCTAACCATATTAATGCAGATTTATTACCCCTAGATTACATTCTAAACAGAGATGTGACAATTTCAGAAACTGTAGTACTAAATGAAAATATTTAAAACTCTAGATCAGTGTCAATAAGTAAACTTTCAGCAAGGACTGTTCCAAAATTGATAGTAGTGGTGGTGGTGAGGATTTGGGAGACACTCATGTTAAATACTCGGGGTGGTAGCATTTCTTAAGAATTTCATATATATATTTTATAATATGAGTGGTTGGGGTCTAATAAAAGTGCTTCCTATTCCCCTCATGCATTTAATTTTCGAACAGCCTTAAGCATTTGTTCCTAACAAACTTGTTCACTTACATATCTAAGTTTTTTTTGGCTTGATCTATTGCCTCTAATGATTTATTATCCAATTTAAATTCGAGCTTCTCCACAGGTTTAATATCCTCTGCTGGAAGCCCTTCATCATGATCTGTTTTACTACAATATAGTCAGAAAAAAGCATTTATACAACAAACAACAAATTATCTTGACAAAACACGCAAACAAATTTTCAAAAATATATATACGCTTATAGAAAGTAAACTATAACCTTGTTCAACAACATTAATTTTATATAAAAATATTAAAGATGTGGTATAATTGTTAGCGAGCCATCCATCAAAGTTCACAGGAAAAGAAGGTGAACATCTACTGTTCACCATTCAGTCGACTTAAACAAAGACCTAAATAAATCCAAAATAGTAGTATTAGTACCATAATCTAATACTTCTTCTTCTTCTTCTTTAAGTTTCTAGCGATCCTTCAATTATTGAAGATTATTCGCCGGGCGTCGACTATAAAATTTTATAATTTACATTGTAGCAAGAAAAATAAAAAGAAACAAAATCAAAAAATCAAAATAATGTATGTGCATTTGAAAAATTTCATTTAGATAAAACTATATACATTTGATAACAAAATAGTTAGGGATAGAAAATGGGGATGAGAGCAGATTCTGAGATCATACTCTTGAATCCCTGTACTGTACTGCATGATACTATTTGTTGTGGCAGAAGATTCCAATCTATAACTGTTCGTGGATAAAATGAATATTTATAACTGTCTTTAGATGTTTGTATTTGCCTAAATGAGTGTGGATTGCTATGTCTAGTTCTATTGTCTAGTGGGATCAAAAGGTTATATGTAGGGACTGCAACAATTTCATGTATAATTTTGTAGAAGAAGACAAGTCTGTATCGTAAACGCCTAATTTCAAGTGGGTACCAATTTAAGTCTGTCATCATTTCAGTAACTGAGCTGGTGTTATGGAAGCGGTTGCATGAGAAGCGCGCTGCTCTTCTCTGAACTTTTTCAATTTGTGAAATTTGCTGTTTTTGATGTGGATCCCAAATAGTTGAGCAGTACTCTAGTTTTGGTCGGACAAGAGCTTTAAATGCATGTGCTTTAACTTTAGGTGAGGCTATTTTAAGGTTTCTATGAATAAATCCAAGAGACTGATTTGCTTTTGATGTCATGTTATCGATATGTTTGTCCCATTTTAAATTTGATTGAAGAGTTAGGCCTAAATATTTTGTAGAGTCAACTTTTTCTAGAGAGTGATTGTGTAATTTATAAGTGAAGTCTAAAGGTTTGCGTTTTTGAGTAACACTGAGAATGTTGCACTTATTAGGGTGAAAATGCATGAGCCAGTCCTGCTCCCATCTGCCGGCCGCTTCCAAGTCAGACTGTAATTTATATGTGTCATCTGGTTTTTTAATTTCCCTATAAATAATACTGTCATCTGCGAACAATCTTAATGTACTATGTTCAATATATTCTGCCAAATCATTTATAAATATTAAGAATAAAATTGGACCAAGCACTGTGCCTTGAGGTACCCCAGATGTTACAGGAATTTTATTTGATGTTTCACCTTCAAGGACTACTTCTGTACTAAGGATGTGTGTCTCTATCAGTTTTTTTTTTGGTACCTTAACTCACTGTGAACCAAATTAATTCAGATTCTTTTTATGCATTAATTTCACTTCTAGCCCACTTTGCAGCAATTTTTTTCCCAATTTTTTATAAAGTAAAATAACAATAAATACCGAACTCCTAGGAAAATTCAAAACGGAAAGTCCTTTATCAAATGGCAAAATCAAAACCTCAAAATACATCAAACAAATGGAAAACAACTGTCATATTCCTGACTTGGTACAGGCATTTCCTTATGTAGAAAAAGGTGGATTAAACCTGGTTTTATAGCTAGCTAAACCTCTCACTTGTATGACAGTAATAAATTTGTTGATTTATATACAAGGGGAGATCTAAAATTGACATGTTCAAAATGTTGCCACAGTATCAATGCAGCTAACAACAGGGATTCCTTTAGCTGAGTATGACTAGGGTTTAAGGTAGGATTTGAGGGCCTTAGTCACTTTTGCGTGATAAGAAAACCAACTTTTCTTGGGTAGCATCTTAACATGATAGGACTAAGGTAGTTATTGCATTGGTTAAATACATAGAAAGAAAAACATGTGTTCTTTCATTTTCTTTTTCAGTATTTCATTAGTATACAAATAGAAACAAAACAAAAAGATTAAAACAAAACAGCTGTTTTCCTCCAAAAGATTCATCTTGTATGTTTTTGTTTTGATTGTTATGTCTCAAAACAGGGACTAATATAATGAATCTGTTGGTCAATGTTCCTGTCCTTAATACAAGTTTATGGTCTGTAGTATATGCTACACAATAGAAATTTGTTTATAAAACCAAAAATAAAGAATAGAGAAAAATGGGCAAAAAAATGAAGAAGAAAGAATAATGGGTGATCAAAGTAGAGAACATTTGTATAAAAAAATAAAGAATACAGAAATTGATGACCCAGACCCCTTCCCCCAACCCCCTACCAAGACCCTCTTTACTTTGTACCATAACTCAGACCTCCTAAACCTAAAAGTCCTAAAGTCAGAAGTATGTAGACAGATCTTGTGTAGATATTTCTATACCAGGAAAAATTATAATTGAGTTATCTTTCTTGTATTTGGGTGTGCTCCTACTTCTTCTGAAGATTATACACAGTAGAGGTTAATAGAATCAATGGCCACACGGTTTATTATTTTAAAATCGAGAGGGAAGGCAGGCAAAGACAAAATATGTCTGAATTTAACATTTTAAAAGGAATTCAAGTAAAACAATGTTTTTATATTAAAGTTCATGACCATTTTGGTCCTTCTGTAAATAACGTTTTCATCATGAAACTGTGGTAAACATTGCAAATTGTGTGGTCCTATGAAAAATTTCTTAAATTCAAAATGACAAATGCAGACCAACTCTATTTGTATAAATTAGTATTGATGATCATAAATGACACATCATGTATAAGCTCCATCATGTATAAGCTGATTTCCTGTAACACCTGTTGTGACGGTTGATAATATTAGCTCGGGTGTTATAAACTTATAAAATTGTTGCAATTTATTATTTTCTTTTACAAATTTCAGTGAAGAAATTGATCAAAAATACTTTCATCATTTTGAAAATAGTTTCGTAAATGATGAAAAATGACAAGTGCTAGCGAAATCAATGAGTATGACTTACCAAAATTCTACTACATGATCTGAGTATGACTTACCAAAATTCTGCTACATGATCCATGAGGCTGACAACAGGGGGTCCTTCAGCTGTTGTATGTTCATAATTTAAGCCACAAATACCATTCCTACCAACCACAAACTGAAAAAGTGAAATAACTTATTTACAGAACAGCAATCTTGGATTTTCTTTTCCAAACATAAATTTCATTTATTGTAACAAAATGACTGCAGTACTGTTTTTAATCGATAGGATTTTTTACCAATTCATTCAATTTGAAAAAAATACATTCTAATGGTTATTTGTTTTCTTCTTCTTTTTAGGTAGTATCTGAAATTCTTTATGATTACTATTATCAGGGTTTGGTTTTTTTTGTAGTATAAACTTATGATAGACATACAATTTTACATTTTGGGGATCTATCTACAGAAAATTGTATTTATTCTGATATAAAAAAAATAGACATCAGCTTGAATATTAAACAAATAATTCGTGGAAGTGAGGGCCATTTGGCAGTTTATGGACCATGTGGTAATCTCAACAATAAAATAACAGTTCAAAGCAAAGCTGCGGTTCAAATAATTTTTTGGAGATGACTAAACAGTTCATATCTTTTGCTCCCAATTTGCCCAATGAAATATTTCTTTGTAATATTATACTGAACTGTTGAAATGTTAAAAAAACCAACAGGATTTCATGTTTACCCTCAACACAAAATGTATTTTAGCCATATTTATCTATCATTGTTTTATTTAAATGCACAAAAACACTTAACAAATTCAAATGCAATTGCTCCTTTCTGGATTACTTGCATGGTAGAATTTATTTTTTAACTTGCTTGAAATGTTTTAAAATTTTAAGTATTTTCACAGGGACAAAGTTTAGAAATGACAATATTTATGATGTCACAGTACAGTATAATCTAAAGTATAATATACCAACATATAAATGTATGTATCATCAATTTAAAACAAATGAAGTATGCGCTTTCAGTCTTGGATTCCACAAAAATGTCTGTTGTGTATTTTTTAATGTTGTTGGATTGCTGTCATATTGATGTATACCTCATATCTCCCCTTCTTCCTGCTGTAAATACTGTTAATTCAGCTAAGTTCAGTTTAACAATAGGTAGATTTTCCAAATCCTTTTGTTTTTTCATATATAAATATAATTTTGACAATTGGATGATGTGTTTTATGATAAAAACCATCCAGCTAAAACACAATAATGTCAATATCTTTCATAGCCATTTCATATCATGGTGCAAGTATTACCAGTATAATTTGAACAAACCATCTGTTGCCTGCCAAACAGCCACTTACCTGTATAGTTTTATCAAACCATCTGTTGCCTGCCAAACAGTCACTTACCTGTATAGTTTTATCAAACCATCTGTTGCCTGTATTTAATTGACTGCCACCCCCATGTAACATAATTTTAGCCGCTACACTCCTCTCGTCTGACATGTCAGCAGGCAAAAATTCATCGAGGCAGAGTACAAAAATACTTCTCTTTATGTTCTGTATTGCTGCTTGGTTCGTTTTATCTGAAATACATATAGTACAGTACATGAGCCAGGGCAGCTACAAATACTTTATTTAACCAAAACCTAAATTTAAAACAACAATTATTTGTCAAATATGTTAATCATGACCGACATGACCAAACATCACAAACTTTTTTCTGCACTATAAAAGAAACCAGACAATCACCATATTACATTGACAATAAAACTAACATTATTTTTACAGGATTTAAGCCTTCTATTATTTTGGAAATTTTCAGGTACTCTCATCTTACCCTTATAAAATCAGACTCTTACAAATTACACTGTCACTTAAAGAAAGCTAGGGGCAAACATGTAAAAACAAATTGTTCCCTCTTTTTTAACCTATTTATTTAGCTTCAGAAGAGGTAAGATTTTGAGAGGAATGTGTGTGAATAGTTCATTACACTCAAGAAGGATCAAAACATGAAAATTAAAAATTATATGATCATTGATGCAATCACTGAATAATTGTCAGTTTAATTGCTGGAAATATAAAGTATTTTAAATTGTACATACCTTTAACTAAATGATTATGAGCTTTAGCCCAGGTGTTTCTATTCTCAGAAGTCAGAATGCCAACTGGTGTACTGGGATTTTTCGACATTTCAACTACTTTCTGCAGCTGGTTATAAATCTGGTCTACACTTAGAGGCTTGTGGTTTTTACCATAAGCTTCTAATGAGAAAAACTGAATGAAAAACAAAACCAGAATATTAGTTAATGGCTAAAAGATAAAGACCATTGTAAAATGTTCAGGCCTTTCAATAAGAGGCAGTACCTCGTACACTACTGATAAATTACACCTGAATTAATTGCTTATTATATAAGGAATTCATAGAATATTTATATGAAAGTTCCATCTGCAAATGAGAAAACTAAAAGTGCATATGAAAGATACTGACACTCTTGAATGTTAACAAAATATTGTTTGGTTTCTGTCTCATTGATGTATACCAATGTCTTCTTTCATTCTTTCTTTATACAAAAAATGCAAATGTTTGAAAATTGACTTAAATATTTATCAAATTTAACATAAATTTATTTTTAAAGTAAGAATAGCCCTAAATTCCCATTATATATCTTTGCATTAACTGGGAGGTATTTGTTTCTGAAAAAAAAATTTGAATGTCAACACCATTTATTTTAACTCACACAGAGATTTTCAACAAGTAAACACCATTTCCAAGTTATTTAGAACAACATGTATGATATCATTGATGTTAAACAGAGAACAGAGAAACTTTAACAGTATGTAATCAACCAAACAGAGAAACTTTAACAGTATGTAATCAACTATTATCACTTCATTTACCTGGAATAGATCCATCAGAGTTTTCACAAATTATCAAAAAATAAAAAAAACACCTGCTAACTCATTTTATCAAAATAAGTCCAGTTATTTGTAAGTGTAACCATTGATGGACATGATTAGTTATTGTAAAGAATTCTAAAGATTCCTGTAAGGGTATTGAATGTAGCTCCATACATTACAAATTTATACATATCTGGTTTTCTAATGTTCAGGTTTGAGCATTCCTGATACATCCATAAAACCACTTTCTTTTATTAAAATAGCAGAATAGTTATAGGTTTTATAACGAGTGAGAAACGAATATTACTTGATATCAACTCGAGATATTTAATTTTAATAACAATAAACAAGCCTTGGCGAGAGTTGATATCAAGCGATATCCAACTATCACGAGTTGTAAAACCTGTTTCTCTTATGGTCATCACTCTCATTGTGTTAAATTAAAAATTACATGAATTGTTGATCTAGTCTTTTGCACATACCAGCATGATGTCATATGTCCTGTTCCTGTGTCAAACTTTAACATCAGACATTTTAAAACTTTTTGTATTTTTCAGAATGTAATAAAATTTGTCAAAAAGAAGATTTTCAGGTGAAAAGTGTGAGTAATTTGTATATTGTTGAAGATATCACATATGTCTGTTGCCATGGAGGAAATGTACATTGTCCTAACCTTTGAAAATCATTGATGACCTAATGAATAGCCAATAGAAATGTCATAATATCGTCTCATGATGCTGGATAAGCCAATCAAATAAACACATTTTTCGTATCACTACTTCGTATCACAATCCCTGCAGTGTGTTACAAGAAATATATCTTCATGTAAGAAATAGATAAGAAAAAGATAACAGGCTACAACCATAAGAGAATTGCTTTCATGTCTTTCCCAAATAAACAAAATTAGGGCATTTTATAGCTTGCTATGCAATATGGGTTTTGTTCATTGTTAAAGGCTTTACGGTTACATATAGTTGCTAACTTCTATGTAATTTGGTATTGGGTGGCGACTTGTCTCATTGGCAATAATACCACATCTTCTTATTTTTAAATTCAAATAAAGTTTAAAGTGAATTATGGACAAAAATTACAGTTTTGAGTGCAGAGGAAGGGATAATGTTGAATTCTCATAATTCCAGAATAATTCACCTCAATGTAATTCCAATGAAATACTTACTGTATTATTATGAATGACTGTGACATGGGTTGGTGGGTTAGGTTCATCAGGGGGAAAACACTCCCATGTATCCTTCTTTAGTCCAGGTGTTCGGCAGGCAGACAATATTTTGTAAAACTGGGTCATGCACAAGGGATTCTTTCCCATATATTCTACTTCCAATGTCTGTCTGTAATTATATCATTTCATTAAACAATGTGGATATTTCTGGATATAGAAAAATTAATAATGTGTTGCTCTACATACACCAGTAACACCCCTCATACTTAATACTGTCAGAAAACAGGAAGTAGGTATCTGACATATCTGACAGATTGGAAAAGCACTCACACATATCAACTCAAATAATAAATATTATTGTATAAATATCAAATATTACATGAATAAATATAAAACAATTGAAAAGAGAAACTAATGGCATGGTTTATGTTAATAGCGATAAAAAAAGAAAATTAATGGCAGACATAAACCAATAACAACTATAGTTATTATCATATCATGTTTATTGCAAAACAGCCCTTTATCTTGTTTAATAAAGAAACATTTTCTTTTTTTTTCATGTGTCATAATATAATGTGCAAGGAAATTATTCAAACCTTATAGTAAATTAATTGGATGTTTAAGCTATTAACTTGGCATCAACACTAATTACTATTCATCATATTGGAAGTGGTTTGTTTCTTTTTTTTTTCATAATCTAAAGACATTTCCTTCTTTTGTCACAATCTGTGAATCATTTAAAAATCACTCTTGCAGCAAATTTTATTTGTAATTCTTCTGATTGTGGGCGATTCACTCTAAAACGTTTGTTTATTCCACAGGTAATACTGTCAGAGACATAAATTAGAGTGAAATCAGGTTCAATCGCCTTCTTTCACATTAATCACTTGATACCAGCAAGATAGACTTTTAACTGAATCACATTGTGTGTTCTCTATTACCGTAAATTGGGAAATTTTGGTCGTAGTTTTATTTTGGTTTATTTGGTGCCTCCAATGAAAGTGCCAAAATTAAAAAAAAACGAAAATAAAGCAAACACTAAAAATTGAAATGCCAAAATCGCATACCGATACAACAATATCGTAATGTTAATTGTTGGGGAAAATATTTGATGTGATTATATCTTCCGTATATTTCCTACAATTCTATACATAGCCAAATCTGCAAATAAATACCCGGTATAATTTGACAAAAACGCTATACAATTTTTACTTAATTGTCAATTTTCTGAAATTGTTAAAAAAAAACACAGCATGAATTTTTATTCACACATGTCATAAATATGCCAGGCTATTGCTGATTAGAATATAGCAAAGTGCTCTCGACCAATAAAATTGTAGGATTTGATGTCTCTTAATTGAGAAGAATGAATGTAAATCATGTTCTTAGTAAAGGATTATCCTATTGTTTGGGTCTATTTACAGTTCAAAACAAAGAGTTTCTATAAATTAGTAACAACTGCCCCGAAGCACATTTATCAGATTGAAAGGATTTATCACACAGTGATTGTTGAATTGTGAAACAAACAAAAAAATCAAAATAAGTTGAAGTTTACTGGTGCAGTAAAATTGGTAGCTTTAATTAATTATGAAAATATTAATAACTTCAAATTACTAAAAAATTAAACAATATCAAAGCAATACAAAAAAAAGTTTTAAAATCAAAAACAACCAAAATCTTTAGCTTTCCAAAACTCTGATTACTGGACCAGCGGTTGGGAAAAAAGAGTTTATTTCCAATGTTCCGATAAAATAAAATAAAACAGGAATTTAATTTTTGAATATATTTAAATCTTTTAAAATCATTTTTTTTTAACATTCCCCTGACATAATGAAATAGTATTTGATTTAAAAAGCCGGACCAAAATATTGGCTGTGAAATAAAATTAGTTGTAACTCAAATGTATTTGTTGATTTAAACTGTAAATAAAAAAAGGATAATTCCTCACTAAAATATTACATGATTTACATTCATACTCACAATCAGGAAACATATACAATTCCTACCTTTTTCTTTGTATTGTTGTGTCACCTAATGTCTAAAATACATTTTTATTTAATACTCCCAAATTATAAGAAAGTCCTGACATCACTAAAACCAGAGACATATATACACATGTATATGTGTATATATGTCTCTGCTAAAACTAATCCATAAATGAAATGCCTAAAAAGGAAGTCATGCATAAATTATAAACATTGCACTGACAATGAAACTAATTCTGAGTAAAACCAATCAAGAGATCATTTGAGCCTTGAGCACTTTACAATATTCTAAGTTTGTAAGTGAATGATAATCCCTTACTTCATGATAAGTACTCGCTAACGCTCGTACTTAATCATGAAGAAAGGGATTATCATTCTCTTACATATACTTAGACATCGTTATCATGGTTATAGGTAATTAGAATATCAAAACTCCTTATAATCCTTTATCTTCAATTAATAAACATGTACTGCCAGAGGCATAAGGATTAAAATTTAAATCCTTGATTGTCAATAGATTAACATGTACTGCAATAGAGATGATTAAAATTTATTTCATATGATATTTGTTTAAAATTAACAATCTATTTAAATAGTGATTTTAATGTTTAAGATTTTATTTCATAACTTCCTTAAGCTTTGAACCACAAAACGGAATTATTTGCAATTGCATCCGTATCCGATTCCTTCATTAGGTTAAATTAGTCGTGTTTCTTGTTTTAGAAATTAAATGATATTTTGTCTATAAACGGGTAAATAAAGGCAAATATGAATGAGTGTGCTCACTACTGTTGTAACAAAATTAAAAATAACAATTGGACGAGGCACCAAAACTAAACACACCAATAATGTAACACATGCCTTTGGAGAGAAAACCTCCAAAATTTCCCAATTTACGGTAATTCATGTATACTGACTATCTACAAACATACAACACCTTGTGTGTACTGTATTAGTTCATGTATACTGACTATCAACAAACATACAACACCTTGTGTGTACTGTATTAATTCATGTATACTGACTATCAACAAACATACAACACTTTGTGTGTACTGTATTAATTCATATATACTGACTATCAACAAACATACAACACCTTGTGTGTACTGTATTAGTTCATGCATAGTGACTATCAACAAACATACAACACCTTGTGTGTACTGTATTAGTTCATGTATACTGACTATCAACAAACATACAACACCTTGTGTGTACTGTATTAGTTCATGTATACTGACTATCAACAAAAATACAACTCCTTGTGTGTACTGTATTAGTTCAGGCATACTGACTATCAACAAACATACAACACCATGTGTGTACTGTATTAATTCATGTGTACTGACTATCAACAAACATACAACACCTTGTGTGTACTGTATTAATTCATGTATACTGACTATCAACAAACATACAACACATTGTGTGTACTGTATCAATACATAAAATTGAGAATAGAAATGGGGAATGTGTCAAAGAGACAACAGCCTGACCAAAGAGCACAAAACAGCCGAAGGCCACCAATGGGTCTTCAACACAGCGAGAAAATCCCGCACCCGGAGGCGGGCTTCAGCTGGCCCCTAAACAAAAATATGTACTAGTTCAGTGAAAATGGACGTCACACTAAACTCAGAAACATATAAACGAACTAAATTTAAAAAAAACATACAAAACTAACAAAGGCCAGATGCTCCTGACTTGGGACAGGCGCAAAAATGTGGCAGGGTTAAACATGTTTTGTGTGATCTCAACCCTCCACCTATACCGCTAGCCAATGTAGAATAAACAAACACATAGCAATATGCACAGTAAAACTCAGTTTAAAAGAAGTCGGAGTCCGATGTCAGAATAGGTAACAAAAGAAACTAAGCAAAATGACAATGATACATAAATTAACAAAGGACTACTAGCAGTTACTGATATGCCAACTCCAGACCTCAATTAAACTGATTGAAAGATCATGTCTTCATCATATGAAAATCAAGCACAATCTCTCCCGTTAGGGGTTTAGTATCATAACATCATAAAATATATGAGAAGAACATAACCCATATCATGCCAACAACTGGTTTTAGAATAAATGTGTTTATTTCCGATGCATAGACCCTATGAGTGAATCAATATTAATTCCCAAATATGCCATCTTTAATGACCTGACAACAGTATCGTAACTATACACAGAATTCCCAAATATGCCATCTTTAATGACCTGACAACAGTATCGTAACTATATTCCTTCTGAATAAGTCTGTTTCAAGGTTTGGTTAGCTTTTGAGGTGAATGAAGACATTTTTGTGATTTGTATAGAATATTACCATAAAAGATTGGATGTGAAATACCTGAATGTATAAGATGTCTGCATGTTGATTTATATTTACAAATGATGTCCTTGTACCAATGATAAAATTTAGTAAATGTTTTGACTAGTTTGTGATATTGAAAACCCTGGTGTAATAATTTTCAGTAATACAGATATTTCTTTTGTTTAAATCAAATACGTTGTTACATACACGAGCGAATCGAACAAATTGAGATATATAAACATCATAAGATGGTGACAAGGGAACGTCACCATCTAAAAATGGATGATTAACAATAGGAAATGAAAAATCATCTCTTTTATCCTAAATTTTGGTATTAAACTTCCCATTAAAGATATAGATATCAAGATCCAGGAAAGGGCAGTGTTCATTGTTAGTATTAGCTTTATTTAAAGTCAGTTCAGCAGGATAAATCATTTTAGTGTACATACTGAAGTCGTCATTATTCAGAGCCAATATATCATCCAAATATCTAAAAGTGTTATTGAATTTTTGTTTCAGATGTTGTTTCGATGGGTCTTTGCTGATTTTAGTCAGAAATTGTAACTCATAACAATACAGAAACAGGTCCGCAATAACAGGTGCACAGTCAATCCCCATTGGAATTCCAATAACTTGACGAGATACGGAATTTCCATAGCGAACAAACATGTTTTCTAGTAAAAATTTAAGTGCAGTTATTGTAGGTCCAATTGACATAGTTCTTTTGTTTGTTGTTACTAAAAAATGACCTAAAAGAGTTTGAACATATATATTCGCATTCTGACTTTTTAAATGCCCATTTAATTAGATGTGTGAATTATTTCTTAATGAGATTATGAGGCAAAGTGGTATATAGGGTAAAAAAATCAAAACTTTGAACAGATTCGAAATCACCAATATAAGCATGCAATTTATCAAGTACTTCCAACGAATTTTTGACACTCCAAAAGTAATTAATTCCACTATTTTCAAAGGCCTTATTTGAACAATTTATTACCAGGTTTATGATTGTACCAAGTGTACTAGTAAGTAGATTAGACAGTTTAGTAGTGGAATAATGGATTGAAGACGAAATAAATCTATATTTGTAAGGTGTTTTGTGCAGCTTTTGAAGCCAGTACATAGTTAGAACTTTCATTATATTTCGTTCTGCTTGTAAAGAGGTAGCTAAAAGTTTATGTTTGTTACAGATGTTATTTTCCGAAAATGGAGTCAGTTTGAATGTTGGTGAATTCGTGATTTCCTTTTGCAGAACCTCAATGTAAAATTTACGTCAAACAATAATGATATTATTGGCAGCCTAATCAGCCAGACAAAAACAAATTCCTTGGCGAGTTCTTTTAGCTTATGTTTGATAGAGAAATAGGGCTATTATGGTTGTTAGGAGTAAAATGTTCTTTAAAAAATTTAAAACGAATATCGACTATGTTCATTACTGAATTAAAAAAAGAATCTAAGGATTTTTTGTCAGCTTTTTCTCATTTTATCCATTTCGTGCGGTAAGTAGAGAGTGAGTCGTGGATGATGTTACGACACTCATTCCAATTAATAATTGACAGGGGACGATATTTCGGTCCTTAACTAAGGAAAGATTACAACTCTCGGCCCTGGACGATGTTAAGGTCTCCTGTTATAACATGGGAACTGGGGCCATATATGTATTTGGAATTACTGCAATTTCATGACATGGGTGTATTGAATGATATTAACATCTTTACACACCTCGCTATAATTAAACACATATTTCCGGGTAGATTTTTTATAAAAATAACAAATTAGAGGGAGCTCAGTATTATCAAAATAACCAGGAATTTGCTCTTTTACAGAATGATCATTAAAAATACCGGCAATAATTACAAAATCAAAACCTTTATTGACATATTTGATTTTAGTGAAATGTTTTTGTGGTCAATTAGTTTTGGGAAACAGTTTAGAATAACAATATGCAATTATAATTTGGAAGATTTTCCTGGTTATTTTGATAATACTGAGCTCCCTCTAATTTGTTATGTTTATAAAAATGAAATTGTGTTGCAATCCTCCATAATTTGATGTAATTTATTAACAGGTAAAGAACAGAGCTTGGTTAAAAGATAATGTAATATAGCTCTTTCATTTCTGCATATATTCATACATCCCTGGCTTCCAAATGTTTGAGCGTTACAGAAGAAAGTTCACCCAGAAAAGCACTTCAGACGCATGAAATTTATAAAGTGTGTTTTTTTTTCATTTACATACTCACTCATCAACCATAATTTTATAGTCCAATACTCCAGCCACAAGTTTTGCAGCAAATCTGAAATAAATGACTGTTTAATGTTACATGTACATTTCTTTTTTAAAACAAATAACTGAACTAATGGTATTAACAAAGTTAGAAAATTAGCTATTCTTGTATCAGGTACCCTCTGTTATAAGAACTTGCTTGATACACATACACTTTCTGATCTTTTGCTGTTAATAATTTCTTGGTTGACATTGTTTAATGTTACTATTGTATTTATGTCCTTGTTAATGCTGAAATGATTAAATGATTATAAAATGACTTATATAAAAAACTATAATGTGTGCCAGGCATATATTTTGTACAAAACTCTATGTCAAATATATCCATTGAAGTAACACATGAGTAAGGGTATCTTATAATAAATACTTGTTTCTATTGTTAACATGGAAAATTTTCTATCACATTCTGTAGCAACATGCATTAATGAGGTTAAAATGCTGTCAGATACTGCTTAAGTGTATGTGATACAGATTTTGTGATACATTGTTCTCTTTATTTAAGACCTGTATCAAAAAAAAATTTTACACAGAAAAACATCTACAGATATTCCAAATTTTTGTATACATGTTATACTAATAGTAATGAACATGTTGGATTATAACATCATCCCACGTCCTTGTGTCTATGGAATCACTGTTTCAAACCTCAGATGTCAATCAATTTCTGTGTAATTCTGTTTTAAAAGTTCAATTCCATGATGACCCCCCCCCCCCCCCCCTATTCTTATCCCTTTGACCTGTAGAATCATTCTTCTATACCTCAGCTGTCATTCTGTACCTGTGTATTTTTTACAGCACAATTTCAGGATAAACCCAAACCCACCAACCTATAATTACAGCCCTGTGTCATGTAGCATCGTTATCTTATACCTCAGTTGTCCATCTGTATCTGTATAATTCTGTTTTGGTAGAACAATTCCAGGACTGACGTGAATTACTACAGGATTTCTGAATTCTAAATAAGCTACACTGGCCCACCATTCTGATAACTGAAAATCATACAATCAGAGATTTTAACACTGCTTTTCTGGAATGACAAACTGGGAAAATTTTCAAAATCGAAAGGGAGTTAGTTTACTTTCACCAATCCAAAACACAATATACAATTGATATTCAAGTTAGTGTTTGATATGTGAAACAATGTCAAAGACCAATAACTCTGAAATAACAAATGAAATCTCATTCTCACTTATGACTTCATCAATCGTAACACAATTTTGCACTGGTATATGCTTTCTTTTCTTTTTTATAGCTTTGAATTATCAAAATTTTAATGAAGAATAATAAACTACAAATGTGCATCAAAGTCTACCAATAATTATAAAAGAATATAATCATTCTATAAATTGTTGAATAAACTTTATTCCGATCTGACATCTGCCCAAAGTATTGATCAGGTTAATTATGTACTACATGTGTAAGTAAATAAATCATTACTAATTCTGACCCATTCTAGACTTGGGGAGCTTGACATATTGTGTAGACATTTGATCTTTTGTTGTTGACTGTATATTGGCATCAAGATGTCCTTTGGTTATTCTGGGTTGCTGTCTCATTGACTTACACTTCACATCATTTTTTTATTCATTCTTAAAGACGAACAAATTTTCTTCAAATTTTGATCTGTTTACAGAAATAAAGAAACCTTACCCAATTTACTTCCTTTGTTGCTCTCTCCTCTAAGAACTTCTGTAGTTTTGGTCCAGAACTCCTTCTGAACTCCTCAACATACTGTTAATATAAATGTATTATGAACAATATCAAACCTACTCATGGTAGACAATGGAGCTAGCAGTTTAAGAATATTTTGTTTTGTTTAAGAATATGGTACACCTACTTATCGTTCATTGTACAAATTTAAGAATCTAATGCATTAAGCCAAATCAGGAGCAAAAACTTGTAATGCCCTCGAACATGTAAAAGGTCCACTTCAGACCAATCAAATGGCCCCTTTTCAAAATGTAAAAACATTAAATAATACAATTGGAGCACTAGTGTCAGCATTGAATATCTTATTCTGGTTCAAAGTCTCCAAAGTGTCAATATCTAAAATTGTTTAACTGGCTAATGTATTAATGGTTTATAGTGTGCTATAAATTCTGAACCAAATTGTAGTCATTATTTGGATTAGAGCTAGGCTGAAATTTGAAATGATCCTTCAGAAGAGAAACATTTTAGTAATAAAATTTCAGAAAAAAAAATATGATTTATATGAGGACTTACATGACTTATACAAGTTTATAATTTTCTTAATAAAAATATGTGTAATGAGAATTGAATAGTAAAACTTGACATTGTAAAAGTTTTTTTTTCACTTCTGATTGTATTAAGAAGATGTGGTATGATTGCCAATGAGACAATGTTCATGTTTCTTTATTTCCTAAAGATAGTTAACCTTTTTTGTTTGTTCAAAGTCTTCATCAGAAACTAATGGTCTAACAGTTCTAAGATACTTCTGCAGTGTGGCATCTAAGGCAGGGACGGGTAATTTAGGCAAGGATTCTTGCTGGGCAAACATTCTCCCAATTACTTTTGTGGGCTTCATTTTCTGTTGTTTTCCTATGATGTTTGTTATCTGAAATAATAAAAAAACAATATGTGGTTATGATTGATTCATAGTTGTTTACTTATTATTCAGCAGCTGAAATGCACTGGTTTAATACAAAACATTAGTGTTCCTTGCCTCCATACAACCCTTACATAAACTCTATGTTGCCTCCATACAACCCTTACATAAACTCTATGTTGCCTCCATACAACCCTTACATAAACTCTATGTTGCCTCCATACAACCCTTACATAAACTCTATGTTGTCTCCATACAACCCTTAACATAAACTCTATGTTGCCTCCATACAACCCTTACATAAACTCTATGTTGCCTCCATACAACCCTTACATAAACTCTATGTTGCCTCCATACAACCCTTACATAAACTCTATGTTGCCTCCATACAACCCTTACATAAACTCTATGTTGCCTCCATACAACCCTTACATAAACTCTATGTTGCCTCCATACAACCCTTACATAAACTCTATGTTGCCTCCATACAACCCTTACATAAACTCTATGTTGCCTCCATACAACCCTTACATAAACTCTATGTTGCCTCCATACAACCCTTACATAAACTCTATGTTGCCTCCATACAACCCTTACATAAACTCTATGTTGCCTCCATACAACCCTTACATAAACTCTATGTTGCCTCCATACAACCCTTACATAAACTCTATGTTGCCTCCATACAACCCTTACATAAACTCTATGTTGCCTCCATACAACCCTTACATAAACTCTATGTTGCCTCCATACAACCCTTACATAAACTCTATGTTGCCTCCATACAACCCTTACATAAACTCTATGTTGCCTCCATACAACCCTTACATAAACTCTATGTTGCCTCCATACAACCCTTACATAAACTCTATGTTGTCTCCATACAACCCTTACATAAACTCTATGTTGTCTCCATACAACCCTTACATAAACTCTATGTTGCCTCCATACAACCCTTACATAAACTCTATGTTGTCTCCATACAACCCTTACATAAACTCTATGTTGCCTCCATACAACCCTTAACATAAACTCTATGTTGCCTCCATACAACCTTTACATAAACTCTATGTTGCCTCCATACAACCCTTACATAAACTCTATGTTGCCTCCATACAACCCTTACATAAACTCTATGTTGCCTCCATACAACCCTTACATAAACTCTATGTTGCCTCCATACAACCCTTACATAAACTCTATGTTGCCTCCATACAGCCCTTACATAAACTCTATGTTGTGTTTTGTGTAAGTAACTGTTGTTTGTTTTTTCATCATTTTTTTTATTTTTTGCCATGGCATTGTAAGTTTGTTTTTGGACTTATGAGTTTGAATATCACTTTGGTATATTTCGTATCTTTTTTACACATATTCTGGAAACTATTGGTTAAGCAATGTTGAAGTTCAGATATTTTTGGTGATCAGATCATTTCCCTAGTATACAGTCTTTGAGAATATGACCATTTTATCTACATACTCAATATTTTTTCTGGAAGGAGGTATGAAACGAGAATACATTTTTTTTTAGCCTGAGGATTTTTTTTTAGTTAATTATGTTCTTTCAACAAACATGGCAAACATATATATGTATTGAAAAATTCAAAGAATCTGCAAAAAAATAGAAAGTAGGTATCTGATAAATTAGAAAAGTCATCAAAGGTTACACATGTTACAACTCATCAAGTGCTGTCAAGTTGCTGACCAAATATAAAGTGATTCTGTTTAGTAGTTTCTGAGAAAAATGTGATGAAGATATTTGTTGAACAAACAGATGGAGGGACAGACTGATTGCAATATAATCCCAACTTTTGCAGTACAATTCTACAAAAGGCCAAACAAATTTCTAAATCTAAAGGTTGTACCTTGACCTTTGAACTGAAGTTTATCATGTTAATAGCCAAAATAAAGAGTCAGGGGTAATACTTATACAAGTCATTTTAATTTACTTGAAGATGCAAGTAATCATATACTTGTATATGTAAATTTGTAACATTTATATTTTTGTTTAAGGTTTGAATAATCTCCCCTTAATCTTCTCCAAAAAACAAGTACATTAATGCTGAGAAAGGTTTATTTTTTCGTTTGAAGTGGAAATAACTTTATCCTGCATTAATCAACAAGTTTTCAATGTGTATAAAATTGAAAATGCTCTGCTCTATAGTTTCCATAGTTAAAATCATAAAACATTAAAGTATTTGTTAACTACTTCTAAAACTGTCATGCTTCACATGCAGTTGTGTGTTACTTAGAGACATTCATCATTAAACTGTCAACCTTTTTTCAAAAAATCTCAAAAGCTACTACAAGCTAACATTGAGAAAATTTTTAACAATTTCATTGCAAGTTTAAATTTTTACATTTTCTGCAAAAGAGCAAAAATTGCTTGTATCGTTGTAAAACATGTAAAATTAGTACATTTGAAATTTGTGCTCAAATAGCTATAGGCTGTTAGAAATTACTCAGCACCAATGTACGATATACATGTGTCCATTAATCAAAAAGTTGCCATTGAATACTTGATATACAAACATGACAAAAAATCCCATTACATTGTTATCTAAACAAATCTATCATAATAACTTGACAGGATGTTTTATTTCAGTATGTACTGGATAAATACAACTGTATGCAATAATCCCATTTTAGACTAGGTAGCCCTATAACTGTATAAGCCTGGGAATCTAGTGGCTAGTCACATATCAACTTAAAACTATGCTCAAGTTACTCTTAAAAAAAATTGTGATAAAAACTGCATTTTACCTCAATTGGTCTATCTCACTGTCAAATGGATTATACATGAATTGAGTTATAATCCATAATCCATCAATAAATGGTTATTCCTGACTATTCCAAATAATTATGACATCTTGAAATGCTATTTTAATTGTTTGTTTTGACGCCCCAGGAAGGCCTTATACAGCAAAAAATCAAAATTTAAATAATTATTTGGACTAATTCCTGACCTCTTAATATACACCTATCTTGATTTGTTTTTCATGAATGAGTTAAACCGGTTGATCCAGGGTATATCCGGGTAAACAACGTCATCCAACAATCGGTTCTTACATTATAACAAAAGCATTGTGACATAGGAAATTTCTGGGAAAGTGCACCAAGTCAAAAGTCAAATGTTGCCATTCTCTTATTTTCCAAAAAGAGTTAATATGAAAATAAGAAGAGTAGCAGCATATATACCTGCCAACCCTCCCGTTTAGAGCAGGAGACTCCCGCTAAAACGACGAAATTATGGAAATCTCCCGCTTGCTTGTCCACTCCCGTGTGGGAGTATAGAATCTCCCGCTTTCGGATATTTTAACCAGGAATGACCCGCGTTCGTAATTCTCTGGCTTTTTCATTACTGTCAATAGAAATTAATAAACAATCGGCGATCATTTGAAAACTTTGGTCAGTAGTTTATAAGTTCAAATTATAAGTAATCGAAATTCATTTCTGATATGTCAACTCCAACAAGAGAGAGGTATTTGTCTGGACCAATCAACAGTGTAAAAAAAAGAAATAGATAACTGCAAATCGAAATGTCAAGCAGACTGAATGAAAGATTTTTAATTTTTACGACCAAGTTCACTGACACTTACTTGGCAATGAATCTTCATTTTGCACATCATGTTCAATCAACTTTTCGGTTTCTTCTGGTGGTCTGTACGACGTTTGAAAGCATGCTTAGTGTGGGTCTCACAACAAAATCAAAATATGGAATGTCATGAGTTTTGAGACTCTGACAGGGGTATTGAAAAAGGCAACAAAAAAAAACACACCTTATACTGTTGTATAGATTATAACCATGAATCACAGGGGTTTGTTACAAGTGTTTTTTTTCGAGGTTCTATTGATAGTAAACCCGGCAATTTGTAACAAACCCCTGTACCTCAGCTGTCATAGCTGATCAAGGGGAGATCTCCCTCTTTGACGGTTTCAGGGGTTGGCAGGTATGAGCATATATAAAAGCTTTTATTCTAATATTGTATAGATAAGCGCAAGAAAAACACTAAATACAAGAAAAGAACCTAACACATTAAAGAATATTTACTCACAAAAGTTTAACAAATAAAATGGGTCCATGCCCCCAAACGACTGTGACTTGATCTGTGGATGTTAAACAAAAATGTCAGAGGTATGAGCTACCATAAACATGATAAACTTACCACAGAAGATCTAACCACCCGATGCATAACTGTGTCCTATATTTTTAACCCAGATAAAGTTCAAGTTATTCTGTTCTGTACACACGTACTAAATGGTTCAAAGTTCTACTTAGTCAACTACAGAAATTATCCCCCTTTGTTTATATTCCTCTTCAACTCGACCTCACGCAGTGTAAGATATTTTTGGCGGGAAATTTGAACCAGAGACATATAATGCATTTTACAGTGGCGGATCCAGAGGGGGGCGTAGAGGGCGTACGCCCCCCCCCCCCCCCTTTTTGCTTGCACTTTTTTTTTTTTTTTTTTGTAAAATGATTAATCAGACTAGACTTCGTGAACTTTGCAATTTCCCGCGTATTTAATATGCGACAATTCTTTACTTATAAAGATATGTTTCGCTCGTATTTACTGTAATATATTATTGATTATGTCAAAATCATGTGATTCGCTACGGTGGAGTTGACCAGTGCGTCGAAAAAACGTCACTCAGTCATTTTGAAATTCAAATTACAGTAACACATTGCTTAGGCTGAGGATGACAAGCATGACATCTTAAAAGCGACAAAGGATTGAGCAAGAACGTATTTATTGACTTCTATTTCACAACTCCACCAAACAGAAAGTAATACTCTATTACACTCTCATGAAAAAGTTCCACAGCAATATTATTTACCTACGAAAACATGTTTAACCCCACACGCCCCAGCCTATTAATAATATTAATTTGAGGGGGCAGTCTGAGATATTTGCGAGAAAAAATTCTGACCCTGATTTTTGCCTTAAACAAAAATTATGGCCCTATCTGGATTGAAAACAATAATCTTGTCCACTTTTTTGCTATTAGAAACAAAAATTTCCAACAGAATTATTTAGCATTAAATGAACATGATATAAAAAAACGGGCGTAATTTATTTGGGGCCAGGGGTTTGCATGTAAATCCCATATCTGACCGGAATGTCTGTTTCGTCGAACTGATAAAATGAATACTTTTTTCAAGGCCCGACTGCAACCTGCCTGCTGGGTGTGGCCTTTATGTCTCCATTTGTCGACCGTCATTCATAAATTCGTTGTCATTTCAGACTCATTCGTAGCCTTTGGTTGATTTGGAACCCCTCATTTCCCTTGTTGGGTGAAACATTTCAACCAAACATTTGGATAAAAATTGCTTGTTTGTCTTTCTTAACTCGTGTCGGTCGTATTGTAAATTTCATTGAATAGCCCGGCGTATATCTTGTTTACAACAAGAAATCCGTGAGGTTATGCTAACTAAACATACAACAAACGAGAATTTTCCATGTCAATTTTTTACTGACAAGTCCCACATCAAATATATTAGTACATAGCTTTGGATCCATCCAATCATTTTATAATAGACAATTAATGGGGAGAATACGGCATCAAAAATGTCCAATCCTTACACTTCAACTATAAAATATACATGCCCCACGTCAGGAACCGTTAAAAAAGTGCATTTTACACTTATTTTATGTTTTTTAGCCAAAAAAATTTTCGCCTCGCTCCGCGATCTTTACATACTTCGCCCCCCCCTTTCCAAAATCCTGGATCCGCCCCAGTTTTATTATCGGTTAAGAATTAGCTTCTCTTATTGGATAACAAGGGGCCACATGACATTCTTTATTCTTCAGTAATAATTTCTATCGGTCTCTAACAGAAAAAAAAACGGACCGGAAAACCGGTCGTTAACAGACTTTTACATGTTAATGACCGGAGGGGCGTGGTTTCTCTGTTTAGAGAGATGTCCCTTTAATAAAACATTTTCCTGATTTTAATTTTATATTGAAGTTGTTGAATTGTTTACCATATGTTTTTGTTATTTATAAAATTATATACTGAAAAATTTTATTTGAATGAATGGTAGTGACTTATAGTTATCACTATGACTGGTCTTCACTCTTTCCTATAGAAATCGTACAATAACTCGAGTTTATTTTGAACAATTTGAATTTATGAAAATTTCTAAAAACATGGTTCCTCAATGAAATAAACATAATAGTTATTGAAGAACTGGTCACTATCGTGATACATGGACTGCCCGTAGGACAGTGGTATTGACTGCGACAGGCGGATAATGACCTCGCCTACGGCTCAGTCATTATCGCTGTCTTAGTCTGTCAATACCACTGTCCTTTGGGCAGTCCATATATCACGATAATGACCGGTTTTTCAATAACTACTATGTAAATTTTGTATTGTATGTCTCTGTTAGAACTAAAGAATTTTCAGGCTACATATATATTTTAATTTTAGTTGTGGATTTAAATTAAAAATCATAATACTTTGCCAAAATGAAGGTTTTTTTTCATACAATTTATAAAACTATAATCATGCAGAGACATAAAATTATGTGTATATATGTCTCTGCTATAATTAAAAGGAAAAGAATATGACTCTAGTGTCACACGTTATTCCAGACCGACCTTGGGTTAAAGTAGGGACAGATCTATTCTCGTTAAACGATCACGATTACTTTATTACGGTGGACTATTTTAGCAGTTATTTTGAAATTGACAGATTAGGAAATACTACATCAAAAACAGTAATCAACAAGTTGAAACAACACTTTGCGCGTTACGGAATTCCACAATTCGTTTGCTCGGACAACGGACCACAATATTCATCTGAGGCATTCCGCGAATTCAGTAAAAAATGGGACTTTAAACATATCACCTCAAGCCCAAGACATCCACAATCGAATGGAAAGGTGGAAAACGCGGTGAAAACGGCAAAGCGTTTGATGAAAAAAGCCAAAAAGTCGCAATCCGATCCTTTAATTGCGATTTTAAATTATCGAAACACTCCTCAACAAAATACAAACTATAGCCCGGCTCAACAACTTATGAATAGGAAAACCCGAACACTGCTACCAACCAAATCTAGTTTACTCAAACCGGAACTAGCCGAAAGCGTGCGCGAGAATATTGAAAAAAGTAAACTAAGACAATCTCATTATTACAACCGCGGTGCGAGTGATCTTAAACTACTCAAACGCGGAGATATTGTCCGAATTGCGACGGAAAATAAGAAACTGTGGGAAAAAGGAATTGTCACGAACACCCACAGCGCAAGGTCATACGACCTTAGAAAAGAAAATGGACAAATGATACGCAGAAACCGACGAGCCGTACGAAAAACAAATGAACAATACAAACCGTTTAATGAACCGGAGAACATAGAAGTTAATATAGATGTTCCTAAAACTGACAATCAAAACGAGATGCTAAGCAATTCAAGAGACGAAGCAGAATCGGTACCGTCCGACCTAATGGTTACACGCTACGGGAGAAAGATAGAAAGACCAGCGAAATACAAACACCTTGTTATGAACTGAATGTAATTTGACTCGAGTTTTAGTGAATAGTAAAAATGACTTTAACTAAAATATTAATTTGAAAGTAATTTGTTAATTCAGAAAACAGACATTCGATTTTTATAGTTAATTTGGTTAAATAATGTTAAAAGTAAGTCTAGGTTAGTCTATAAAAAGGTATATACTATGAAATTTAGAGCGAGGGGCTTGCCCCGAGCTCTTAATTTCATAGTATATACCTTTTCATAGACTATCCAATTTAGCACATATTTACAACTCGAGTAATCTTTTAATTGGTCTATTGATAGTTTATTTTGGCTGACTACTTGTATCACAGGTGTTTGTAAAACGGAGCTCATTAACGAAGTTTTGTAAATCTACTCACTAGTATCATTGTAAAATATGTTATTCCAAAAGGCCCTTGACTCCAGAATGAAAAGATGGTAGCTGCTGGTGTAAGTATGTATATTGATATAAAGCGGTGTTTTACTATACATGTTCTTCTTACATGGTAAGATGACCAAATAAATTGACCAAAAGCAGGCAATAATTAAATTGCAGTGGAAGCTTTACATGTTTTGAAAACATTTTTTAATTTCACAGTAAAACTAAAGCTATAATAAATTTGAAACATATAGATACAATGTAGTTTGTCCCCATAGATATAGTCTAGCAGATAGGCATTAAAAAGCAACTACCAATAGATCACAGATTATAGGTTTTGTGTTTTTTTTGTTTTTTGTTTTTATTATTTCAAAGTAAAAACTAAAAGATTTATCTGAATATGTGTATATATATATATATATATATAATTGGCACATTATCTTCAGACATAATCACAGTTTTTCAATTCATGACATCGTCCTGAACATGCATGAAATATTTGCCACTGGAAATTAAGCAACCGATAATCAATAAATCAATCAATTCATGACGAAATAGATCACCTTCCTTAAGAAAGTTTAAAAAATTATCACCAAGTTGCTTTAATTTCCCCTTCACAAGGTTTCATAGTACCCACTTTTTGTGTACAAAGTAATTGCATGGATGATACATTATCATAATTTTAAGATATCGTTGTACTCTAATCAAGGTATAAAGAACCATATGTATTACCCTTTATTTAAATGAAAGAAATTTGCAATTGTCAAAAACATTTTTTAGATCCAAAGATTTTAATAGGAGGATATTTAAAAATCAACGTGAAAACTAATTACAAACTATTTAATTTAATTTGGAACACAGCATTTTATTTCAAAATAGCCAGTGGCAATTTTTGTTTTAAATATCTTGATTACGATACAATGAAATCTTACCCTTGTGGTCATTCATGCGTAGTTACTTAGTACACGGGAAAAGTATGTACTATGAAAATTAGAAGGCAAATATAAGCAATTTGATTGGACGAGAAGTTGTAAGTATGTGCTAATATCTGTTATATTCTTATAATTGATTAAGCTTGGTATATAACAGTAAATTTAATTACACTCATTTGACAGTTTAAGATAAGACATTATCTTATTTTCTAAAAGAGAAAGGATGTAATTGTTAACAGTATTGGCTATAAATACCTTATCTATTTATACTATAGACTTAGTAACACGACCTCATTATGTTAATGAGATACACGTGTTATGATAAAAGACATGCATTGTATACTGTGTATTGCCAGTCGCCATTAAATAGTTATAAGTCTACTTGGATTATATACATCTTTATGCCTGCAGCCAAATACTTAAATATCGGGGAGCCTTTTTCAAGCTACAGGTGATCATAGGTTGTCTGAGACTGGTAGTCAACT